CTTTCCCTGAGCAGTGTTGAGAGTTGAGACTACATTTTCTTTCATCCTTATCATAGCAGTTGCCAAGTAAATAGTAGGTGCTCAAACAGTTGAATGAATTAATGTGAATATATTGTTGGAGTACCCTGTAACCATAGTACAGTTCTATTCTGGTACATAGATGTAGCTATTTTTACTCTGTCCAGTATTAGACACCATTCAGAAAAGAGCAAAAAAAGAACTTTGATGTTCCATTAAGAGCAAATGAAGAGATATGATGACAAAAGGCAACTCCTTATTAGCTTAAACCATAAATTAGCTTAAAACTTGAATTACGTATACCACAAAATAATGGGTTTTTTTTAGTAGTAACCTTTTCTTTTAAAAAATAATTAATTAATTAATTTATTTATTTTTGGCTGTGTTGGGTCTTCGTTGCTGTGGGCAGGCTTCTCCCTAGTTGCGGCGAGTGGGGGCTACCCTTTGTTGCGGTGTGCGGGCTTCTCACTGCGGTGGCTTCTCTTGTTGCGGAGCACAGGCTCCAGGTGCATGGGCTCAGTAGTTGTGGCTCGTGGGCTCTAGAGCACAGGCTCAGTAGTTGTTGCTCACGGGCTTAGTTGCTCTGAGGCATGTGGGATCTTTCTGGACCAGGGCTCAAGCCCATGTCCCCTACATTGGCGGGCGGATTCTTAACTACTGCGCCACCAGGGAAGCCCTAGTAGTAACCTTTTAAAAATAATTAGCAGGGCTAGTGCTAAGACTCACTGTGTCAGTTTGCTATGCTGTATAGTATAAGTCTGCTTGGGCTACCGTAAAAAAATACCAAAGAGTGGATGACTTGAACAACACACATTTATTTTCTCACAGGTCTAGAGCCTAGAAGTCTCAGATTAAGGTCCAGTGGGCTTGGTTTCTGGCTTGCAGATAGCTGAGAGAGAGAAAGAAATCTCTGGTGTCTCTTTTTATTAAGAAACTAATCCTATTGTATCAGGGCCCCACCCTTATGACCTCATTTAACCTTAATTACTCCTCAGCAGCCCATTTCCAAATGGGAGTTAAAGTTTCAACATATATGGGGGAACACAAACATCTAGTCAATAACACTGTATAAAAACGATCCAAAATTTAGTAGCTTAAGACATTTATTTTCTCATGATTCTATATGTTGGTCAGGCTGTTCTTGTGGTCTGAGGTTGGCTTGATTGTGGCTGGAAGTTCTAGGATGGCCTCACTCACATGTTTAGAGCCTTACCAGGGAAAGCTGAGCCCCTCTCCATGTGGTATTTCATTCTCCAAGAGGCTAGCACAGGCTTCTTTACTTCATAGTTAGTGTTCCTGGTGGCAAGAATGGGAAAGCCCTAATGCACAAGTGCTTTTAAAACCTCTGCAGTGGGAAAGCCCTAATGCACAAGCCCTTTTAAAGCCTCTGCTGTGTCACATTTGCCAATGTCCCATTAGCCAAATGTCCCATATATCCAAGCGCAGATTAAGGGTTAGAGAAATAGACTGCACCTTTTCTAGGAAAGAAAGGTTAAGTCACATTGCAAAGGGGCATGCATATAGTTATGAGAGGAACTTGTGGTCATTTTACAACTTAGTTGGAATTGAAAATATTAGGATTTAAACAATAAAGATAATTTGATTGATCTAGTGGGAAAAGTTCTGCGATAGAGCAGTAAATCCAAGCTCTGACTCCATTTCTCTGCAGCATCCTTAGCACTGCTTTTTCTTTGTGTCTGCTTCATCCTTAGGCTGATAGGGAGATGATCCACATCTTCACATAAGCAGGGGCCAGCAGGAGACAGGCTGTCTATTCTGTTGGCTCTCTTTCAAGCCCCATAAAACAATTGCTTTAGGTATTGTAGAATGATATTTCAAATGGTAATCACTTTTACACATGTTCAAATAAATCTTTACTTCAAGTCTGTTGCTTCAAACTTGGTTTACTGCATCCACTTGTCATTATCTTTGCTGCTGATCTATCATTCATTTAGCAGACATTTATTGAATACTGTGAAAGGTACTGAGACAGAGCTGAACAAATCAGTCTTCACTTTGTTTACTCATAGTATAGAGAGGGTGAGACAAGAAAAAACAAAGATTACACCATAGTATGCATAAGAAGTCATGGGCAGATAAAGAGAAAACACTGGCAAAAGATTGGTATCTCAGTCTGAGAGGCTGGTCAGGAAATATGAAGCAATGTTGTTTGTGCTGAATACTGGAGAATAAGCCACAGTTACCTGGGGATAAATGGGAAAATGACGTTACAGTTAGTTTGGATAAGTGCCTGACAGAGTTTGGCACAACGAGGAACATTTATTGATCAGAAATAAAATCTTGATATTTAGAAAAATCTCCTGAAGGGAACTCTTAAGGAATTTTCAGCAAGAATCCCAAAATAATTGGGTTTGTGTTTTGGAAGGCTCATTCTGGGGAGTGAGTTTGAGAGGTTGCAGGGTGGAGGCAGAGCTTTTGCATTCTTAAGACGAAAGGATTTTGAACATATTTATATGTTGAAGAAAGAAGCCAGTAAAGAGCGAGAGATTGATAATACAACCAAGAGAGAGGATTGATGATGAAGCAGTTATTTTTTTGTGGTGGGATGAAGGTTGGAACAGGTGAAAAAATTAAATCTTAGGTAATAGGGGATATTTTATCTTTTGACCCTAACGGGCAGGAGTAAAGAATAACTAAGCATTTGGAAAATTCTTAGAGACACAAATAGTTAAAGTAACCCTTTGTTTCCTTGGTGAAGGTAGCAAGGTCATCTACCCAGACCGTGAAGAATTTAGGTGGGGTAGGAGTGATTAATGAAAGGTTGGAATATTCATGGCAGACCAATCTGAAACATGCTTTATTTTGGACTGCTATTGCCTACTTTTCCTGTTTTCTTCACTCTTTTGTTTTGTAGGTTGCCTTCTATTTTGAATTTTTTGGTTTTATTTTGTTTTATTTTCTACTTTAGGGAACTCCATTTCCCACTAATTTTTAAACTAAACAGGTCAAATTTGAAGTGCTTTCTTCTGCTATATTTTCTTAAAGTTGAAACCTGGAAACTTTAACTGTGAAACAACTTTGCCTGATCATGCAGATGCGGTATGAGTTGCTTTCTAGAGTTGTCTAGATTATACTATAGGGCCTTTAAAAAGCCCTTATCAGTGAAACCACATGTGCTGTTTATTAGAAGCATGTATAACTAAGGGATAGAAAGGCCACAAGTAACTACTTGCTCATTTTTTATTCTATGCAATTGTAATTGTGATTGTTTTGTTTATTTATTTATTTATTTGGCCGCATGGCTTATGGGATCTCAGTTCCCTGGCCGGGGATTGAACCGGTGTCACAGGAGTGAAAGTCCGGAATCCTAACCACTAGGCCCCCAGGGAACTCCTGTAAATATGATTGTTTTTAAAATTTCTCTTTCTGATAGTTCATTGTTAATGTATACAAATGCAACAGATTTCTGTATGTTAAATTTATATTATCCAACTTTACTGAATTCATGTATTCTAATAGTTTTTTGCTGGCATCTTTAGGATTTTCAATACATAGTATCATGCCATCTGCAAACACTAACGGTTTTACTTCTTCCTTTCCAATGTGGCTTCATTTTATTTCTTTTTCTTGTCTGGTTGCTATGGCTAGGAATTTCCATACTATGCTGAATAAAAGT